GACAGTATTAAGATTAAATAGTAAGACAAAGTGCAAAAGGGCTGTCTATTTAATGGAGATAGTAAGTCGTAAACTATAAGAAATCGATTATCACAGAATGCTAGGAGAATATAATTGATTATGATTGATCAATTGTTTACTTACAGTTTACTACCTTTTTTATAGATAACCCTTAAGTTATGAGATAGTATATATATATGTAGGAAAATAGTATATGTACCTTTCTTTGTCATAAGATTAACAAAATCGCTCGTAATTAGACTGTCATAGAGTCTTTAATTATATCTGAAACAGCGATCGCGTCATGTAAAGCGACTCTTAGATGCTCAATATTACTGTACAATAATTACTTCATACAATATTTAACATAAACAGTTTAAAACAAACAGTCTGGAAGTTTAATATACTGTATGATCACTGGATGATCACTAATATTATGTAATAATAATGATCGTTTATAGGGGCCGTTTTAGAATTATGTAAGGCATCTTTCCCACGTCTTTTCTCATCATCCAGGAAACAAATATAATCATTTCGAGTAATTTCTTACCGTGAATGCTTTTCTATTTACGCTGATTTATAGAAAGCGTCAGAGCGCTATTTGGGACTCTTTTTTATCAGCGGATCATAATTTTCTTTCGGATTAACTATGTACGAATTCACTTGTGATTACGAGTACAATTTCACCGATCGTATTACGCACGTAATTGAGATGAGATCGCTGATACATAAATTCCGTATAGTTGCAATAATTCAACGCGATACTAATGATTATTGCTTTCTCTTCAGGCAAGTCTTGGCCCACGTGCGCACGATTCCGGAATTGATCCTACTCGGCAATTCCTCGCACAACGTGAAACGACTACCCATCTTTTCGTTTATGGTGCGCCATCCTCGCGGCACGTTCCTTCACCATAACTTTGTCTGCGCTGTTTTGAATGACGTCTTTGGTATCCAGGCACGAGGAGGATGCGCGTGCACGGGTCGTTACGCCCATCATCTAATGGGGATCGACCGTGAACTCGCCAAGGAATACGAAAGCATCCTCTTGGAAAGGTATATAATTCTTTTATTACATTTATATGTAGATCAAGCCTGAAAACTATTTTCGATAAAGTTTATATTTATCGCGAAATGTATTATAAATATATTCGACATCGCGCGAAATGATTAGAATAATTTTTATTTAAAGAGAGTTGTTTTGAGTTTGTTGCTGTGTAAAATAATTCTAAATGAAATGTCGATACTTCAGAAAATAAATCTCAAGAGCGCAAGAAAAGGAAAAAAACATCTTATAGGAATATAAATCATTTAAATCTTATCTTTTGAGTGATAATATATAATTGATTAAAAGAAATGCTCAAATCGCCTCCGATATATTTATAGCTATATTCTATATATTGATTAAATTATAAAAAAACATATGAAATTACAAGATAAAAAATGTTTGTGTTATTCATAGAATGATCCAATATGTTTAAATAATTATCATTATCTCATATATGTCTTCAATTTAATTAACTTTAAATATAAAAAGAGAAAATATCCGTTAAACAAAATTTCTCCATTTGATGTCGATTGTATCTTACATCAACATTTCTATTATCATAAATAATGTAAATGGATATAAACTGATTTTATTCAAATTATATCTTTTAATTACTTCATCGCTTCGCACAAAATGAATTGTCATCCGTGCGAAAGATTATGTACATCGTACAGATCAGTAGAGCAGAAAGTAGTTATCTATTAAACTCAGCGCGGTATAATTTCGCATAATAGACACATGCCTAGAAATAGACGATACGCCAGCTTTCAGTCCCAATTTGACGTAGGATTCTATTTTCATAAAGATACAGCATATACAGATTGTATATAATTTATTTCACTTTAGACAACAGAACGGCATCGAGGAGACCATCGCGGAAAGTCTCAGACCGGGTTTTGCTAGACTGTCTTTTCCTTACTTTATGAACGAGACGGAAATTGCCTTTGTACTGGAAGCTCTTAAGATGGTAGCCACTGAAGGCTGGAAGCTGTTGCCACAATACGTACTGAATCCTGATACTGGTGAATGGCGACATCACACCAACAGCGTTTTCAAGGAACGTAAGTGGCTAGGTTCGATCAGATATACGGACGGAAGAATGAATGCCACGGAGAGACGAGCTTCCGGCGCCGGCGTCTTCCCACAGAACTACGGTGACTGCCTGCAGACTGCCCGAAACATCTTCAATCGTGCTCGCAAAATGGCACAGCGATATCCGTTGCAGATCGACAAGAGTTTCAACTTTATGTGCGAGCGTATGGAAGCATTGCGCTGGTTCATACTGCCAAGCGAGGCACAGGATCTACTTTTGGGTAACTCGCAGAACGTCAAACAGGACGTGCCATTCAATCCCTTGCTGGCCTGGAATAAGTACAATACGAGCACCGTCACCACCAGTCACGATAGTCTAGTAAACTGCCTGACGCTGACGAATGGCATGAGACGACTGAATAGCGACATTCCGCGTACAGGCAACGCACCCATCTCGACGACCTCACCGAGGCATCGAAGCCTACCGGCGTTAAGCACGGTTCAGCGAACTTTGATGGCGACCTCGGCGGAACGAAACCAACCATCGTCATCAAGCAACAGCGAGGAGGAGAGTCCAAATCAAAATGAACAGTTCTCTGGACACCGATCACCCGCCACATGTCCAAACTCACCAATGCCGGTTAGATTCATGGTGGGCGAGGCCGTCACTACCTCGGTCCTGGGATCTACATCTCGCACGACCGTTCGAACGACGAAAGAACAGAGGGAACTAATGGAGGCAACCAATGCTGGGCGAGCGAGATGCAATTCTCTGGGTAGCACCACCGATGGATGTAACATACAGGGAAATCGCACTGGTGCCGCAACGGCGTCCTCGCCGATCCCGCCACTTCCACTGAGCCCACAAACTCTGACCAGCTTGGGCCTGAGCACGTCGAACGGTTCGTCGAAACATAGACGTCTTCACTGCAGCTGTAGTAGTCAAACGGAGTTAAACTCTTTAGAATTGGATTCTGCCGCCAGTCCGAGTCACTCGATCTCTTCCCTGAATTATAATCATAATCCTGCATCACCGCCGTCTTCATACTCATCGACCAGCGATTACACCGAGAGGTTGATAGGTGGTGGCAGATCTTCGCCTATTTCGACGAATATGGGTCAGGATGATCTGAGCGCGTATGTGAAAGAAATGACCAAGGAATTAGCGACTGAAATCAAATCGGAGATCCGCGAAGTGATTTCCAAAGTAGATGACGCTTTGTCGGAAACAAACACATCTGAGAACACGCCACAGCATCACTCACGGGCTCAGAGTATAGTTAATCAAACATGCGTGGAGGATAAACAGTCGAGGCATGACTCGTTCACGGCTAGTGACATCGCCGAATACTTAATGGAATTCTCGAAGGAAATGGCGAGCGAAGTGAAATCTGAGATAAGGTAATTTATTATTATTAATTACAATATTACAAATATTATAGACTAAAGTACGATAATATAAAGTACGATCCATTAAGATACAATAATTTTTAATAGAATTAATGATATCATTTTTAAAGTTGTCACATTTATGTGGATTTTTTTCAACAGATGCATGGTGAACGCCGTTGACGGACTTCACAGGTACTCGCCCGATGCATCCACTTCGGACGTTTCTTCGAACGGATGTGGTTCGCCCGATCGTGGAAGAATCGTGCTTCCCTCGTCGGCGTCTCCGCGTCTTTCGAGCTCTAGAAAAAGTGGACCGATCGAGATCACCAGTAAGGTTGGCGAGTTGTCACAACAAGAGAGCAAAATGTCCAGCGAGTGCTCCTCGGACGAGACGGTGATTTACGTGATGAAGCCGTCCGAAACCGAGCAGATAGTGCGTACTCGTTCGAAGACTGAGGATGAGGAGGTGGAGAATGACGTGGATGACTATGTGGATGATGATTCACAGGAAGGACGTGGCGGCCTCGACATCGGTGACGCTCGGAAGGTCTTGCCAAAGATTTATTCGGCCGTGAATTCGGTCAGCTCCCAGGACAGTGGCATAAATATGTCCTTTCAAGAGAGCGACAAATCGATAGACTCGTTGGATCTGAAACGAAGTAGCAGCGCCGAATCCAACTCCGCTCACAGCCACGGGCGAAAACCCAGAACATCATCGATGATGAGTTTGTCGACTAAGTGCGGCGGTAAACAGCAAGCGCGTCAAAACGACAATCTTTCGGAAGACGAGGAATGCACAGGCGATCTGCGAGAGGAGGAGGGCGACGGTCAGGAAAATAATTTTGACGACAACGAGTCTAGACTTGAATTCCCACGAACTCAATGGCACTGCCCGCCGAAGAATATGTGGAAACCTTCGGTGGAAGCTATGCAAGAATTCGATATGATTCGGGACAATGATAAGGTCTTAGTCTGTCTGTCAGCAATCGGCAAAGACTCGCTTTCTCTTCTACATACTCTACATCAGTACAGATTTTACGTTAGATCGAAAGGAATCGATTTTGAGATCGGTGCGGCCACAATTGACACTGGTGGCTCCGATCCCATGGAATTAATGAGTTATCTGAAGACTCTGGAGATTCCCTACTTTTATGAGGAACAGGTGACGGACTCAAACAGCGTCAACGTCGACAATCCATTGGACGCTAGCATTGCCAGCGGGACCTGCAGTTTCTGCGACAAATCGGTCAGGACACAATTGTACTCTTTGGCGAAACGGAACGGATATAACGTACTAGCGCTCGGTCAACATTTAGATGATCTCACGGAAAGCTTTCTTATCTCGGTACTTCACGGTGGCGTGTTGAAAACTATGAAAGCACACTACTACATACGTCGGGAGGATCTCAGGGTTATTAGACCATTTATCTACGTGCGAGAGAAGGCATTGAGACAATTCACCGAGAGCAAGAAGCTGCCTATCTCGCGAGATTCGCAAACTCTGTCTGAGGTAAAATCTATATCTCAAAGATCGTAGAATTTTTTTCAAAGTTGGCTGTTAAGCTACATCTACTTTGCAATTATTAAGAAATTAAGTCTCTTATCTGTTTATAAGATACATTCTTATCAAATTTTTTTTATCTCATATGTTACAGAAACAAAATAGAAGGAAGGAGTTGATGCTCCAACAGGAACGCGCGTATCCGCGACTACACTGGTCCGTGCGCACAGCTCTACGGCCCTTGATAACTGCCCATGGACAAATTACTACCTTTGATTTGACCTGCAGCGGCACCGGCGGCAATAGTCCAAGTGGCAGCACCAGCAGTAGCATAAGCAGTACTTGTAGCAGCAACAGTGGCGGCAACAGCACCAGTAGTCAACAGAAACGACACCGGCGGACCAAGACAAATCCCTCGGCGAACACTGCTTCATCCCAACAAACTGACGAGAATGATGACACCGACGAGGAGCCGGTACTTTGAGGAGGACCTATCGCGAGATGGGATCCCGATTGTCCTGCGGTCCCATCTTCGCGTCTTCGTCGCCGGCATCCGATGTCGACATTCGCTCTCGTTAGACGAAGACGATTGCGCTTTGCAGCCGTAGGCACTGCTGTCAAAGCAAACGATCAGAGATCTGCCGAGAATGGCAACTGAATGACAATTGCGAGCGGCATTTAAACGCAGAAGACTTTGCGAGGGAGATTCCTCAAGAATTGCTCGTGTCTCTGAATGTTACTCGCGAGTGTATCCATCGCTCATCGCTAGATCTTAACGATATATTCGATGGTCTTGAAAAGTATCCATGTAATATCGTCGCAGTGAATAATTGTCGACTATTCGATGAAAAACGTGACTATTATTGAATTGTCGTGACGATCTTGGATACAGTTGCTTTTTGCAACTCAATGGACATTTTTAAAGGAGAATAGGCGTGATCGGCAAAATGCTATTTACTTTAGGAATGTAAGCGTAAGTCCTCTGAGCTTACGACGGAATGTTTGATTGTGAATAGTTAGGTGTATTGGCAGCTAACTGCGCGATTGTCTGTTTTACGCCAAAATGCAAAATTGATAATTGATAATTGATCGACGAATTGACAGGGCAGAATGATGTATTGTGCCGTTACATTGTCACGTCGATTATGAATTATATCATCGGTATGGAACGGTAAACGGATCGTTGCCGATGCGCGTATATGATTAAGGGACGCGATACGCTTGAGAGACGCGATAAGCGATAGCTGCTTAAACACTGACACAGGTATTATATGTTACGTATCTTAGAGAAGAAGTCATGCAGCGAGGGGAACGGAAGACAGTTTCACGAGCAAGCCAAAAACCTCGCGAAGAAGGCTCGAGTTGCGCGAATATACCTTTTTTTATACATATACAATTATACTTTTTATTTGATATACTGCCTTTGGCGTCTAACACTTACGATTACTGAATCGCGATCAAGAAGTTTTGTAAACGATCAAATCTATCTTGATTGAGGCCTTTTCTATGCGTTTTTGACTTCCCGACAATACGACTTGACAACAGGCCCATTTTTTGCGGTCAAATAAATGTGTCTTTTAGATGGTCTGTCGGGAATGTCATCTCGGGCGGATTGAAATGACGGCACGATTTATCGTTACGTTATTGATTGTATCGGTTGAATTAAACCGATTAAAAGCATGGTCGAACGTTTCGTTTTTTCGAGAGGACCATATTGAGAGGTAAAGGCTGCAATGAACTCTTACCTGCATGAACTTCTACTTAAGAGAAAGGGAAGCACCCACACGACGCGTAAAGGAATAACGCTTCTCGCGGATAGAGCGTATCAAGACGGATTTGTGTGAGACTGTTTAAATATTCCCAAGCAACACATACAGATCCATTAAGACGTCTGAGAAGTGATTAGGCACGTCTGAGATATAGTAAACGTCTTGTTTTCCGCGTTAATGGGATAAGTGCGAGAGAGGCTTGTAATAAAACATTAATTTAAGGATCTGTTGGAAGGAACAAGTTTTTCGTTTCTATCTGACAAATATTTGAACGGCGATCTCCGATATTTCAGGCTACAAAACGTACATTCTCTCCTCTTAACTGGCATTGTCGAAGTGCTATCGCACAGCGATATAATAAAGCTACGCTCTTTTTCACCGTAATTTTGTTTATGCTGCACGATCTGCGTTGTGATCGATAAGTTTAGTTTCATATACAAGAAGAGTTAACGATGTCACAGATAATGAACAAGATAAGAATTGCAGATAAGAATCCGATCACATCGCCAGTTTATTTAAGTACATAGTAATAATGATGGAATCATTGTGCGACGGGATCAATGAAAAAAATTAAATAAAAATTCTTCTAGTAGAATAAAAACGCCAAATTTTCGGTATAAAAGATCAAATTGTATTTTACCACCTCGAAGATGTATAAATTTATCTCTGATCTTTTGCCTGAAGATCGAACGAAGACTTGAGATTGGATTGCCCGATTGGATTGATAGTCTAATACTCAATTAATCCTAGAATCGTGGTCCTTTTCTATTATAACTATGCTTATCAAAGATAGGCACGGCGATTAAATCAAATTAATCCAGATTAATCCGTTAATCATCGATTCACCGTGACTTTGATCATGCAACGAAATACATAATATTGTACAGACAGGATTCTGGTAAGAATTATTTTGTAAGATAGAATTGTAATAAAAAGTAGATAAAGACGAAGGATAGATAATGTTACGGTGGAAAAAGGAGGTGCACGCAATTGGATCGTAAACGCCAGTTGATGAGAGATAATCTGCCGGATGACATAAGGGAACTTAAAAAAAAAAAAGTCACTGTCGTGTGAGAAAAACTAATATCAAAATTTGCGAAGGAAAAATATGTAAGCCAATAGGCTTCGATCGCTATGTCGATTACAATACTTGTAGCAGCAGCGATCTTATGTTGTTCACTTATTCTCTCATGTTTGGCTGTTGTATGCTCGCTAATCGTTAGTACTGTAAGTAACGTTTAAGACTTGTACGTAGATCGCATGTGAAACAACGTACGCAACGTAGACGATGATCATTATAAAATATTTACGCTATGTACGTACCGTTCGCGTCGTACTGATTTTTTTAAAGTGTTCGTTCGTTCGTTCATTCGTTCATCGTTGAGTCGAGGATGCGAGAGGCGGAATTAACAACCAAATGCGACAAGCGAGATGGAAATTTTGATCTACACGAATCTTTGCGAATAGATATTCTCATATTTTCCGAGAGTTACGAATGGGACATTGTTACTGTAAAGATATGTAAGTTTATTTATCGCTAATAAAAATGAACGTTGAAGAAAAAATGGAGAAATATATGAAGAAGACAAAAAAGTTTCATTCTTTCTAATTAATAATTTTAGTAAATAATGTTACAAATAAAACTGCGAGAATTTCAATATTTAGAGGAATAGAGAAAATTTATCGGCAACTCGGTCAAACTAATCGATAAATTGAACATGCAATAAAGCAAGAATAGAGAACGGAAATCTTGAAAAACGTGTCATGTTAATTAACTGTTAAAGAATAATTGTAAATTTAAATCAATTTCTCAAATAATATTTTGTTATTTTAATTTCCAAGTATAATATCAAAATGTATTATTTTAATATAAAATATAGTTAAAAATATAACCATTGCACATCTAATTATTTCTGTAGTTGAATTGTTTAGTTTCATCAAAATAAACAGTGTTCGGATTAATTTTTTATTAGCGTATCTCAAGGTTTAGGGAGTGAAATACCCTCTCAAAAAATATGGATTTTATCGTTTTTAGCAAGTATCTTTGATATTAAAAAAAAATAAATATACCATTATATAGAGCGCAAAGTACCATAAAACTTTGTATTAAACATTTTTTTTACATATCGCATAGTTTCGAAGATATTTGCTAAAAACGATAAAATCCGTATTTTTCGAAGAGGTGTTCCATCCCCTAAATCTTGAGATATGCTGATAAAAAAAAATATGGGTCTAATATTTTTTTATACAACATATCCAAAGCCCATCAAAATCGGTGAGGGACGGCTCCGACGTTGCTTTGTTAGTGATACGTAAATAATGAATTAAATTTGAGTTATAATAAATTTAATACTCTTCTTGAGTTAAATTGTTTATTTATTGTATTAGTTAAATTAATGACATATTGAGTAGGAGCTGAAGTGGCGACCTAAAAAAATGATTAAAAATAACTTAAATTTGAGTATAATTTAATATTAAAAACTTTTAACAGTGATGAATGTGTGTGTAATATTTCAGAATCAACATATTGTCCATAAAAATACAAGAATTTTAATGCTCGTTTTCAATACATATGGTATTTAAAGATTAAAGGTTTACGAAATTTATCAATAAAATTCATTTATAAATTTCTCGACAACCTTTAATTTTTAGATAACAATATATTGTGAAAAGAGACTTTAGAGGGATAGGGAATCTGTCAGCAACTTAATTAAACGAATCGAAAAATCAGCAATCGATACAGCACACGGTTGAACAGGAATAGAAATTAGAGAAATCCTGAACGACATTTGATGTTAATAGACAAAATACTTTACAAAGAAAAAAATAATGAAATATCTAAAAATATAGCAAGCTCTATAAGTCTAAAAATAATTTTGTTAGACTATTAAATAATTAAATATAATATTAGGAAATTCAAGCATAAACAATGCTTCAAAAAATTTTGATATTTTAACGTCCCACATAATTATTTTGATAGATAAAATTATTTTTATACTTGTATCTGGTTAAGTTTTTAGATATTTCAGCAAAACCGTGTTCTTTACGTGTAGGATATATTAGAAGAACAAGGAATTAAGTAAACAGTCAAAGTTATATATTTTTTAGCGATTTATTAAATCCTTTAAAATATTTGAAACAGCGTGCGGCTTTGTTATTGGCGTAACAGTGATATAGTCGTTTAAGGTACGTAATACGAGGAGGGCAAAGCGAGCGAAGATCGATGTAAAGTCCGCCCGCCGGTCGCCGGATTAATTTCAGGCGAAAGGAATCGTGGCAGATCTATCGATTCGGCACAGTAATCGCGGATCGTCGGGATTGAGCGAGCGCCGTTTAGCGATCCTTCGGTCTTTCTTTTCCCTTCCCGCTCGCTCGCTCGGCGATTGCGCCATCGCGACGCATGCATGATCGGCGCGATCCGCGGAGAAGTTGCGGTGCGTCCGTTCCTCTTAAGATTAACTTTAAATAGAATGTAACGTTATCTAGTTTATTAGACGAGATTAAAATCGAGGAAAAAAGTCCACATACGAGACGGAATTCAATTACGGTCTAATCGATCTTACAGCTTAAAGTCTGCCCAGTGCGGCATCGAGAGACTCGGAAGAGAGTATTAGTCGGTATATATAGAAGCCACGTCTGCCTCCGGATATCAAGAACGTGCGAAATGAATTAGATCTATTTTCTCAATCAATAAGAATTACTTATTTCTCAATCAGTTTATCATTTCTTGTACTTGATGCTCATTCCTTACGGAAATTTAATACTGGAATTAATAAATTGCTTATACCGATTAATTACTGTAAAAAAAACTAAATTTCAATAAATATTTGTTTAAATAGTTCTAAGTAAATACTTACTAAATATAAACATATATTTATTTAATACAAAAATCATTAATTAGATTTAAGATTTGGTATTTTTTTCAGTGTATTTCAGTGTATTAAAAGCACTGGACAATAATGCTTTTAATACTCAAAATAAATAATTTTCAATATTAAATTGACCAATATTAAATTGAATTTCTGCAAGGAGTCTCTTCGGGAATAGAAATTGAAATCTCCACGTCTTTCGCGTTTTATGTGGTATGTCGCGGTATCGTCGAAGAGACAGGGGCTTCACTTTCCGAATAACTTTCGTTTTCCGAGATAAAAGTCATATAGTCGACTGCTGATGATTTATCCGGCGTTTTCGCGAATTTATGGCTCGTCGCCAGAAACCCTTATCACTCTATCCAGCACGGCGAAATTTCGCCAAGCTCATTACCAAATTGCCTCATATTTATCTCATGTAATTATCTCAATTATCTGACTATCCTCTTAAGCGTGCCAACGAAAGAATCGTTCCTCGTAGTTTGTATTTTATTTTTGCGTATTTGATTTATATTTGCAACTAGAAATTTTTATTTCATCAGGATAACTTAAATTTTTTATTTTATTTTTAAGAAACCAATCTTTTTTCGAACAAAATTTTCAATCTACGTAAACTATTTGAATTGAAATCATTGAATTTGCGTATAGAGATTACAGGTATAATTTTTAGAATTAGATATGATTCGAAACGTTCACATATTTCACGTTCATCAGCGGACGACTGGTGACCGTTAATTAAATCAGGTGTCACACGAGCCATCGAGTCATGAAACTCGTGATTTATCGAAAATCCCCCGGTCGACGGGGTTTTGGTTCGCGTATGACGTATGTGTTTAGTATACATCGAAAATTTGTGCTGTACCCGCGATGATTGCGCAGATAACGATAGCTCAGTGCAGATTTTTTATTTTTTAAGTTTTTTTTCTTTGTAATCTATATTCACAATGCGCTTAGCGAGACCTTCGCATTCCAGCATTAAAATTTGATTCGAAATCTGAGAATAAGGATGAGAATTAATATGAAACGTAAACGGAATTTACGAAGTCGAAATTGAGCCTCGTTCCGTTTGTCAATCGCATACTCGTACGGATTGCGAAACGCGAGAGAAGGAATACTTCGCGAAAGCGAAGATTGCACATCGCTTTTGCCCGTATCGGTATGTCTTATCTAACAGAGAGGTGAGAATAAACGTGATCTTAGAAGAGCGGAGATTGCAGATCCTCGTCATCATCCTCTTCGTCTTCGTCGATTCCCGGCTCGCCGAGAGCGTGAACGAATTCTGAAATCACAAACAAAAAGGAATTAAGGATATTTTTGCTGCGTAATATCAACTAAACGTATCAACCAAAAAAATCAGCTAAAAAACTAATATTAATTAGAATTTTTGTTGTAAATACATCCTAAAAAGCTGCAAAAAAAAACAAAATTATTTGGCTTTCGATGGCTTTTATGCAGCGCAATTACTATATTTTATTACAATTTTGTAGGTAAATAATTTTTATTTTAAACAAGTAAATGGATCAAAATAAACTTTTGTATAAATATTTGTAAGAGTTTTATTATTTTTGTATATATACAAAAAAAATTGACTTAATTTTTATTATTTTATGCTATTTCATTATAAAGTTTGCAAGTAAGTACTAGAAAAACCGATTTTACGTAAAAATTAAAACAAAATAATTAAATAATCAAAAAATTTCAGTAAAGCTTATAAAAATCGACATAAGATGAACGTGTGTAGAACTTATATTAAAAGAAAATACAATTTAGATGTTTTAATCTTCGGTTTAAGTCCTTTTCGATATGATAGTGACACGTTAATAAATTATCAATTTCGCTGTACAGTAATCATTAAAACTTAAAGCCATATTAAATAAATACAAAACATTGTCAAATAAGAAATATTGTAATATTAAAATTCAAGAATAAAAATTATTAAACGTTTCAGTACTTGGCAGCATACTTAAATTATGAATCGAAAATTACAATTAAAAATATAATATCGATAAGTTGACGAGAAATAGAGAGCATCAAGGAGCGCACGCAAGCACAATATGTACGTAAAGATGTTGAGCTTATAAAAAATTAAATAATGCTTTTGAGATTTCTACAGTACTTTTAAGATTTCCTTTTTATACAGAAACTATACGTTTCGCAAATTATCTTCGTGTTCAGATCCATTATGAAAATGCTACGTTTCGTGAACACTGCAGTTCACTTTCTCAGAGCGAGGAGCAGCTTGGTATTAATGAACTGCGATGTTGCGAATGCACATTGACACTCTAATAATGGATCTGATCATGGAGATAACTCGAAACGCATAGAAAGAGTTTCTGTATAAAAAATTAAATAACTTTCAAACCAGTAAAAGAATTGTACTCAAATTTTATACAAACAATTATACTTACAATTATAGATAATACTTATATAATAGAACAATCTATAAATCTTTATATTTTTGGTAACGCTTTGAGTTGTAAAACATATATCCTTAAATATTTCTTAAAAAAGAACATGTAATATGATTTATCACTATAAAAGAAAAAAGTACAAAGATATATAACGCGCGGTCTATGATGTCTGATATATATTAAAAATATTGAAATAACAAAAGAGATTTTAATTGTTACATAACATTGCAAAAAAAGAAAAAAATAGTCGTCCTTTCGTTTTTTTCTGTAATCTCTTAAATAACTCCTTATATATTGTAATTCCTTTTATAAAGACATTGTAATTGTTAGATAACATTGCAAAGAAAAGAGAAGAATAGTTGTATTTCGTTTCCTCCATTATTTCTCGAACAATTCTTACTTTTCTGTAAAAAATTAAATTCTCTTTTTATTTTAGACATGACTCCATCGATCATTTCAAGAATGGATCGTACGCGAATAGAAATTAAAATCTCTTTTTCACCATCTGCTCTTATCCTTATGTTTGCATAAAAATCGCGCGATGGCAATACAAGAAATCTTACCGTAGAAATCAATTCGACCGTCTCCATCCACGTCCACTTCCTTAATCATATCTTCGACTGAAAGTAAAAAGACAAAGAGCGGTTTACAGTTCACTTTTCTATTTACAATTAAATTATTTCTTTTTTCAAATAAAAATAATGAACTACGAGCCAAGCTTGTCTTGACATTAAATATAATAATTACTTTTGAATATACAAAAGCAATGTTTTTTTCTTTTCGGATTTAGCTACTAAATGATTTTACTAAATAATTCGTTGTAAAAGAAAGTATTGTAAGCATATAAATTTAAAGGTAAATTTGAAGACATTTATTCTGAAATATTTAACGATCTGAATTGTCTCGTATATTTTCTATTTTATTCGTTATTGTTGGCCGCGATTAGGCATTTAGCAATATATTTTGGGTAAAATTAAAATGCATGTCGAATTCGATGTGTAACATATTCCTATCACGTTTTGTTTGTAGAAAATGCGCCTATATTCTTGCAGTAATTCAGTTAATATATCTTTGCTGCGTTGAGCAATGGGATTAATTCGTATCACGAGCGCCGAGAGCGATGCCGAGAAAGATATTACCAATATACCCGCATTATTCCACGTAGAATTTATTGCTACGAAAAGGAATGAAGAGGGAGATAACGATCCATTACGATACCACGTTGGCATTCAAAGACTTTCCCTTCGGATGCTTTCTTGAAATTTTTTAAATTAAAATTTTTGCTAATAAGAAAATTTAATTTCCTATTAGGAATCGTCGATTCCCTATTCTTATACGCATGCCATTATCTAATAGATAACATAATAGCTTTTTAGAATTTTTTATTTCTTTTTAAATCCAAAATTAACGTATATCATACACACATCTTGAAACAAACGTAATATTTTAATTTTTTCAATTGCTGATATTTCATATCAATCTAATAGATAACCACGCAATTGAACAACAAATTTTGATCAATATTTTTATTCTTCAACAACAACAGATATTTTTCCAGTTCTTTGTAAATCTTCTTACATTGAAAATGGATATATTTTTTTAAAAAGATCATCATTTTTTAGCAATTTTACTTTGAATTTCTTATGTAATAACGTAAATTCATAATATATAATATAATTATAAAAAAATTTTAATTCTTTTTACAATATATATAAAAATAAATTATGAAGTTTCTTTTATTGTTTATGTACAATTTATGTTTATATTACAATTTTTTGTAAACATATAAATATATAACAAAGTTATATATTAAAATAATAAAATTTATTAGCAATATATTTAATATCAAGCAATTACGCTGATTTACAACATTTCTGTTTCTCAACACCAGATAATTTTTGTGTATTTTACTTCGTAAAGTAAAAGAAAAAAGTTACACATAATTTAAATTTTGTAATTTTTTTCCAAAAATAAAGATAATTTCTTAATGTCTCAAACTTTTTAGGATGATAGAATTTTTTTTAACCTTACATTCTTTTTCAGCAGTTAAAAATATTGCATTGGAAGAAAAGTTCGTTGCGCTACGAACTTTAAAATTTAAATAGCTGTAACTTTATTGAAAATGAACGAAATTTAAATTTAAAAAAGAGTTTTACGGTGATTCTTTAGTAAATCGAGTTACTATAGAAATGTCTAATTTTTTTATATAATGAAGTTAAATTATTGAACTTGACGTGTGTAAAATTCTAGGATTAATTAACAATGAAATGAGAAAGAAAAAATGTAGAAGAAACTTTTAACATATAACTTAATAACAGATAAGGATCGGAAATGTTTCTTTGACTAATTACACACTAAAATATTGCTACAAACTTCTCTAAAAAATGAGATTATAGGTATTAGTTAAAAAAATTATGATTGCAATGGTCATAAAAATAGTAGGTCAATGGTCATTCTGGAAAGATATTTACATACACTTTCAATTTTAATCTCGAAAAGGAAATATAACTTTATCTTATTTTCGTTTGGTAAAGATACAACTTTTGATTTTACTATGTTCCGTATATATTTTATTAAGCTACATATACGTAGTTTTATTTTATCCAAATTATGCAAATATTTGTAATTTTGGATGGACTCTGGTGAGATATTCCAAATTTTCGGCATTTTACTAAAAAATCACTTTAAAGCTTAGAATATATTCTTTCAAAAGGTTACTATCTTTTGAGTTTTTATGCGTTTAAAAATTTTTACATATATAAAATTACGAGTTGGAAAATGAGCAATTTTCTTCTCGTTTTGCACTTTTCACGTGCTTAAAAAAAAATCATGCAAAAATTTTCGATTTTCCAACACAAAAGCGTAAAGTTTTCCCTATAAAATTTGAAAAAAATGTTCCTAAAACTTTATTATTGAGTTATCAGATTAAATAAAAGAATTCCGACTTTGATTGCTCATAATTCCGTTAAAAATCATCGTACCGTAATTAAAAAAACAGATTCTTAAAGCTGAATTTTTGCTATATTGAACGATATCATTGCCATTAAAAAAAAACATGCAAATATAATACAAAGCAACTTATGTTCCAATCCAATACATAAGATTCGTTATTTAGTTATTGAGAAACAGAAACTTTATAAATCAGTGTTATTTCTTCAAGCTACTCCTCAGGTTTTATGATAGATTTAAAAAATAATTATTAAACTTTGTACAAAGAAACACAGTTCGATTGGAATAGATTTTGACATTATTTAAGCTATTCATTCGACAAAAATTTACAATATTAATAGCAACAGACATAGCGTAGTTCATAAATTGTAATACTGCCAATTGTAAGACAATTGTACATCTTGAACATTGCGCGATTTAGTCTAAATTGATTGCGGCCAATCAAGAAACCTGTGTCGATCATCCGTTTGTGCGAGATTATCAAATCAATCGAAGTAAGCCGAGTTTCTCGATGTATACGTTTTGCTGACTCTCTCTCTCCCCCTCTCTCTCTCTCTCTCTCTCTCTCTCTCTCTCTCTCTCTCTTGGTGCACTGAAATTACTTCTTGCTTCGTATGTAGCAACGAATTAACGCTTGGCGGATGCGCAAGAACCAGCGTTTCAACTTACCAATAACATCAAGACTTTTTCAACGCGATAATGATCAAATTATATCTGAATTACTAGCCTCGTTGATCACGTTTTCCATGTCCTCTGCTCTTCCTTTTATTAGAACGTAATTAACTGAATGCAATTACATCGTGCACGAGCAAACCGCGTATTTCCCTTTTTGGGAACCAATTATTTCTCTAAATGCTTCTTTAAACGCGCTTTTCCGCGCATATTATTATGAAAAAAATATAAACGCAGCGCGATAATTAAGATCGCAAACCCGAAAGAGTCTTTACAAGAGAACAAACGTGTAACGAGAAATTTTTTTACTCGCATTTCCTAGAGCAGCCGTGGTAGTCCGATTGTATTTTAAAACTCAGGGCACACAAGAGAACAAAAGGCAGCCAATGGCACAGGAAGACGTAAAGCAATGAGACATACATAAATAATAAACCAGAGCTTTCTAAGGACGGCATACGACGGCATAGGACGGGGACGACACTAGTTTGAAATCGTTAAGTTTTTGACCTGTGTCTTTCACTGTGTAAAAGTATTCTGTTATTTATATTTTTATAATAAAATATAAATTGTATTATGAATAATAGTATTTTATAATAGTAGTAACAGAATACTTTTAAACATAGGTCAATAACTTTTAACGATTTCAGCCTAATGTCATCTATAAGACCGAGCATCACGCGCTAACAAAATAGCAATGAAGTGAGAAGTAGGAACGTAATGGGCATGAATGCTGACACATTTCAAGCCAAACAATATCTTGGACAGCTCTGCAGTAAACGAATCAGCCAATCATAATAGTGAACGTAAGATAATACACTGTTAAAAATAAAATGTTAATTTTAACTTAAAGACGTAGTGGACTCTTTGATATATACAAAAATGTTAAAATTAACTTTTTTTTGTAGAAAAATTTAAATATTTTTGCATGTCTCAGAGTCCACTATGTGGATTACGTTTTTAATCTTGCAGCACCACTCTGCGCCTTTTATCACTTTTTCTCAAAATTCTTATTCAGATTTCAATATGTAAAAATAAATAAAATATAGTTCAGTTTTTATTATAGTAAAAACTTATTATTAAAGGTTTCCATAAGTGTACAAGAATTGTTTCAGACTTTTAGTTCGAATCATAAAAAGTATATGCTGTTTCTCTCAACAGCCCAGAGTGTAAACTATGATCAAAAATTTCGGGGTGGTGCTGGAAGTTTAAGTTAAAATTAATAGTGTAATGTAAACAGTAAACAAATAAAAAAATGTTGATTTGCTTACTGCTTACTTTTTTATCTATTTATTATTCTGTGTGTCACTAGCTTTAGCCGTTTACTAACATTGGCGTGCTTGCAGGCACCCCCACGTATCCGACCGATTGAAATGTCATTCTTCAAATGTCGAATGCAAAGCATTGACATTCGGGCCGCTCGGGAAGCAACGTGACAAACACGAGATACTGTACATTATTGCGATCCGCAAATCTGCGAAGCAGTCAGCGCGACTGTAGCATCGCGATTAATACCTGGTGTCTGAGATACATATCATGATTTGCAACAGATTTGATAGTAAATTGCGTTAATAAACACAAATTTGCCAATGCATTTCAGAGAATCGTGTAGTTTGCAATAACACAAACTCTGTTAAAACAAATTTATCCTCAATTAACTCGGAAATAGTTATCTAATTTTTTATTGCATAAACGATCAATACTCTAATTCACTATTATTAACTACTATTGTATGTTACTGAGTGTTCTACAATTTCATTAGTATTTGAGATCATTATACAGATTTATTTGATTTCTAAGAAATGTTAGGAGAAATAAAATAACAGGTATGGAACTTCATTTTTTTTGCTGCTAAGATATAAAAATTGCTTCAGGTGGTTATTCTCTAAAGTAGTAAAATGCCGTCATTGTAATGATTATTTAAGGTAATTTTTCGTTATTTTATGTCAGTTGTAAAATAAATGTAACATTCGTGATGATGTACAATATATTATCATTATTTAATCGTCATTTTTAATTCATATTTAATGAATAAATAATGGGTAACGTTATCAATTACTATTTTTATTAAATAATTCAAATCAATAATCAATAATTGCAAATATATATAAATAAAAAAGTATGTATATTTATTTACTTGCAATTTATTGGCGCAATATTGACGCAGTATATCCCCAATGCATGCCAATGTTTAACAATTTATCGCTAAATTATTCTACGAAAGTTGCAAGTGCTTATTGCTTAAGACAAATATTAATTAACAATATTATTTAGTCTACTGAAAAATAAATTGTATCTTAGCTTACATTACGTATTGTGTAAGATTACGTATGTCATGACGAGAAACATACCTACATCATCTTACACAATACATACGAGTATAAGCTAAGCTACAATTTATTTTTTTCTATCACGTCATAATTTGAGAGGGCTCTTTCTTGACGTCTTTTGTGATTTTAATTTCAATTTAAGACATATTATATTGACACAGACGTTATATTGATCCTACTTAGGTCCTAAGTTAAAATAAATTCGGCTTTAATTGATTTTATAGATTTGCTATTGATTTTGGAAAATATGATGAATCTTTTTGCAATTTATGGAAATCATCAATTTATTATTCGTTAATTGATGCTTAGATAATAGCTGATACGTTTTTAACAAGATCGACAATCTTAGGATAATAACTGTGGAATAATCGGTATTGATAACAGGTGTGTCTAGACATGGCGTTTATGATAGCACGGATAATTCAGCCGTTGTTTGCTTTATTGCGCAAACACTCGATTGGCACGAATGCGGGCGATGTGCTGACGTTTTCGTAAGAAATAGAATCGTGGGATGGCACGGCTAAAGACGCATGGTCTAGATTTGTGATGAGTATGTGTCAACAACGTGGAATTAGGAAATTTAAGTCTTTGTGGAATAACAAAGAGCAGGCACGCGCAAATAATAATTCAGGACAAAAATTATGATACTCATAATATGAAAGATATTTTCTTTCTTAAAAATAATGTGATATATTTCAAGCAAGAAAAAACCTTAATATTCTTTATACAAAAAATAAGTGTACGTTTGTACACAGTACACAAATAAATTTCTCTATTTGGAATAAACTGCGTAAAATAATGCGATATATTTCAGAAAAATCTTTAAAATATTTTTACGGAAATAGTATATACAGAGTATCATTTAGCTTCACTAGGTAAATCTGATTAATTTTCAACAATAAGCTCGAATCAGCTATCAATTTTAATTTTATAAAGTATTACTTAATTAGCTAGTAAGCTTGTTTATTTCGAAATAGTAGATATTAATGATATTATCTCGGAATATAATAGATATTATAATAATTAATGTTTTTGTAAAATTTTGAAACTGCACTTATAGTTAATTTGTGCAATTACGATCTACAATATCAATTAACAACACATAATTAACAAATAAAATTCTGTTCACGTTTATTTATTGCGTGAAAAGACAGTTAAAAATAAAACTTTCCACGTTAAATAGAAATTTATCTGTATAATGCCGAGCTCTGTGCTATGAAGTTACGCTTCCCGAGAATCAATTGGCCTTAGGTATGCCAATTTAGATGGAAATGGCCTACTTTAGCTTTTATGGTTAAAGTTTCTCTTATCGAAAGTATTTGAAAGAGAGTGAGAGAGAGAGAGAGAGAGAGAGAGAGAGAGAGAGAGAGAAAGGAAACGAGAGAAAAAGACAGAGGGAACGCCAACGCATGTTATATCCGCGTAATCACGTCACATTCATCGTAATGTACTATTGAGGAATGCGTTAAATATTTAAGACTTACTCTCTTCCTCGGAAAGATCCTCTCCCAGACACTGCAGCACCGCCCTAAGATCTGACGCAGTGATATACCCACGATTATGTTTGTCGAACACCTGTACACAACAAGTAAACAGAAAATGAAATCCGTGGCGGAGCAAATCTCTGCACTGAGAGAAAAGTCTTGATATTTGTGAATATTATATATATATATATATATACATATACACATACTATATATTATATATAAAACCAAATAAAATAATTATGGTTAGGAGCTCTATTTTCATAGTTATTATATATATGCTATAATGCTACTTATAATAATTACATTTAGTTATTAATTACAGTTTTATAAAAAAAAATATATAGTTGGCACAGAAAATGGCTATAAATTATAATTAAATTATGATAATTACAATAATTTCTTTGTATGCGCTTTGAATAAAGATGTATATAAAAAAAATCGGAAATGACAAATGGTACAAAACACTTATATTACTTATATTACTTATATAACACTTATATTATAACTACAATACTTTAATCACATCGTCAGTAATTTCTATCGACGATTTCTTCAAGATATATAATCAAAATAATCACCAAACGCGACGAAAAAAACCGACGCCAAGTTTGTCCTCTCGCTCTGTCGCTGGATTTCTCCCGCGATCGCATAATGACTCCCAGGGGAGCAAAAGTAAATATTTTTTTTTCTCAGAAAAGTTATCCCTCTTCGAAGCTCGCCCTCTTTCGTTTACAAAGACATTTCGCTTTTGTTTCCGCTAATTAGTAAGTAGAAACGTTTTGATGAACATTAATTTTCCCAGGGAAGGAAACCGAAGCGAAACAGAGACAAAATAGCTGACAAGGAAACAATTATTCTACCTTATTATTTATTGCACACAGCGGTCAATTCGACTAACACAATTTGTAAATCGGGATCGAAGCGGGCAGACGCAAAATCAAATTACCCAGATCTTTCCCGAAATAGAATCGGAATTGATGCTGAATCAAGGAATTATTCTCTAAGAAACATTTGCGTCCAACAGCAATACAATCAATTATATTGCTACCTAATACAACAGTATTTTGTTTGATGACATCTATTGAGATAACGAATGAAGCATCGTGGAAAACGTCATACTCCAAGAAAAGGATCGTAAGGATTTTTGCCTCCCGCTCTCGTCACGCTCGCGATCATAGAGGATTACGAAAGAGCAGTTTGACGTTTAACAGTGAGAGACAATGCACAGACGTCTGCCAATGCAAACAACATTGTTACTACTGACTCACTCGCGCGAGCATCGCTTGTGTCAGTTTGATTCAATTTGGTTACACTAATGAGTAATTATTGCAACTACAGTGGCGAGCTTAGAAATACGTTGCCAAACTCCGTTCGCAATCTCCTCTGTCCGATGTCTGTCGAATGGCGTGTCTTTTGTCCGTCCGCGAATTCGAATTCCGCATCAAAGAAGCTTACCTTGAGTATCAAACTGCTGCTTTTCATATATTCCGATAAGATTGATTTCGCGATACGTATACTTTTCATAAATTGCGATTCTATAAAATCTGTTTTTTTGTATAAAATCTAATTGTATTTGTTTTTTCGTATTTCGATATTGAAATGTATACTGGATCACCAATCATAATACAAAAAGAAAAAAGAGAAGAAATATTGAAAAAACAAATCGAGATTATATAAAAATTTTTCATTCAAAGTTTTATTTTTTTTAAATTACCTTTAAAAATTCGAAAATTCTCATCTCTTCTTTTTTATATTTAGAAGCACAAACTTCATATTGCACGCTATTTTAACATAATTACAATTAGATGTGAAAAAAATGTAAAATAAAAAATGTAATATAAATTACTGAATTCATGTACAAAATATAATTTAATAATACTAAATTAATTTAAACTGCTATATAAACACATTAAATAAGTAAGAAAAGGGCCAATACGATTAAAGCCAGATCTTGGTGCTTAATAATATTTATCTCGTCCCCTTATTTTAAAAATTATTGCAACTAAAAAAAATTTAGTTTTTTAAAAAAGGGAAAACTTAACCATATTTTCCTTACTTATTTAATGTAATCATATAACATTTTAATTTATTATTATTAAATTTGGTACATGATTCAATAATTTATATTACATTTTCAATTTTTCATTTTACATTTTACATTGCATTCTCCATTTGTAAGTTACAAACACGACACAACCAAAATGTGTCACTCTTGTAGAAGGTATTATAATTTTTTTTTTAAATCTCTCTTATAGAACAATAAGTGTTTGATGAATCGTAAAGTTAACTTAGTTTATCCTTGATAATTAATAGCGTAATTTTTATATCTAATTTATTCATCTAGAGACACGATAGTGTCTCAGCGCTAAGACATGGTAGTAATGACACGAAAGTTACATTTTCTGAGATGAGTCACTTTTGAAATAAAGAAATGATATATAAATTCTAAATACATCTTCCTTTCGAATTTCATCTGCAACTAATGAAACTTCTTAAAATGCTAAAAAGAATTTAATAAATAATATTTTTCGCAATAAAAATTCTTTTAAGTGTCTTAAGATGCTTATCAGCGTCGTTATTAATAATAATAAAAAAAAAAATTGATAATCAATTTAATTTATGATATCTCATTATTTCAACTTCAGTTTATAATTGCGTTTCCGACAGTAAGCAGCGCGCAATTGTATTACTAAAAAATGTATTTACAGAATTTACATATAAATGTTATTAGGCATCAAGATTTAGCCTTGATCATATATTAACCCTTTTCTTACTTAAATAATTTACTTAAAAATATTTTTTTACATAAAATATGTTATCAACCGTAACATCACAATATTTTGTGTTAAACTTAATCATTTCTTTAAGCGTTAAATGTTTTATATTTTGATAAACATTTCATATTTCGATTCGAGCTAAATTCGAAGATCTTTAAAGCTTATTACGCAAACTTAAATGAAAACAAAATATCTTCCATATTTTAATTTTTAAATTTGATTTTCTCGGAAAATTTATTGTCTATAAATTATATTGTCGCATAATTTATATAATTTTAACTTAATTCTGTCAAAAGTAATCACTCATTCTTCCGGCTTGTATCATAAATATAAACTATATTAAAAAGAAAATTATCTAAAACATACAAAAGTCTGAGATGTATAAATAAGCATTAAATATTTAAAATCGATTTCTATCGTTTCTCGTGTAATTTGGACTTCGTAACGTGCAATTGCAGTTATTACCTCATACAGAAAATCAACGCTCTATAAATCATTCGAAGTACTAATTGCACGCGCGATATCTTTATGTTTGTACTTATGTATTGCGATAAAACGACCTAAGTGCCAAGGTATATTTTCGCAGCGCGGAAACTCGGTAGATAGGCAGATATTTGTCACTTTTCCTCGGTGGAAATCACCGGAGTAACTCCGTTTCCGACAAAAGTCAGAAGGGAAAGTGCTGCGCCTCCGAGGAAATGGGAAATAGAAGCTTGGAAAGAAATGTTGTCGCCGAGGAGAATCGCCCTAAGTGACATCTTGCCGTCGTCACGATCTCGATCATCGCGGCTCTCCAATACCTATTTCACAATAGGATTGCACGTCGTAAGTCGCAAGAAATTATCCAATCATAGCTGAATATGAGAAAAATAATCGATTATGATTGGTCAATTTCTTACGATTTTATTATAGAACAGACATAATGCGGCGACGGACTGGATTCGACCGTAGGAAATTACAATCGGACTTGTTACAGTAATTAGTAAATTGTTTAGCCCAGCGGACCATCCGATCATTCCGATCGATCAATATTGTGGTCTGTTCACACTGTTCTAGGACTGAGCATTCGCAGAAATAGCCGTCGTCAATACAATCATCGGAAATAGTTAATTACAATTACAATTGCAATTGTTGAATAATTTAATTAAAGTTATAATTATCAGCGTTTTAATAAAGTATCCTATGTATATTCTCGATGCCTAGTGCATATTCTCTAATTTGATTGTCGTAAACATTTTCCCATTTTACGATGCAAATCGATATTTGCCCCGCGACTAAGAAAATAATAAACATTGATTAATGATGGATATAATTAATTAATAATCGATTATTTCAAACGATTAATCAGTTATTTTTTAATCTTGAGGGTCGACAGTAGCGACGTATAAGATTTCAAATCTTACATTCATAATTAGCAAATTTTAAACGGTAGATCTGAAATGACGGTCAAAATTATTATCAAGACATGGTGAATTCTGATATTAGTGAAATTTAAATTTTTAATATTCTTAATTCTTTATAACTAAAGATTTAGGGCTTTAATACTAAAGATTCTAATACTAAAGATTACTAAAGATCTTTAATACTAAATATTATCTTAAATATTATTTAATATTATTTAATACTAAATATTATTTAATACTATTTAATACTATTTAATACTATTTATAAATATTATTTAATACTAAATATTATTTAATACTAAATATTATCTTTAATATTAAAGATTCTTTATAACTAAAGATTTAGGGCTTTAATAGGGATTTATAACTAAAGATTTAACTAAAGATTTAGGGCTTTCGAAAATAAAGTACTTCGAAAAATCATCGGGGCAAAACGCGATGAGGAAACGGGCGAATGGAGAAAATTACACAACGCAGAATTACATCAATTA